ACACATCACTGTACAAAACGGATTTTGAAAATCTATATCCCTGTGGTGCATATATTCTAGTAGGGAAAGAGAGAAGAAATAAAATCCATAATTTAGTTATTGCACATTAAAGGGTAATAACTGCTATAGAAAAATAAAGAGCAAGATAAGGGGTTTTAGAAGTCCTGGACTGAAAATAAATGATGGCAGTTTTAAAGACGATGGTCAGGGGAGGCCTCCCTGAGAAGGTAAAACATAAACAAAGACTTGAAGGTGGTAAAGGAGTGAGCTGTAGCTATAGAGATATCTGGAGGAAGGGCATTTTGGCTGCTCGAGCAGCTAGTACTAAGACCTTAGGACAGACGCATGCCTGGGGTATTCAGGAAAGCATAAGGAGGCTAGAGCAAAGAGAGCAAGCGGGAGGGTGATAGGAGATAAGGACAGAGCAGTAACCAGGTCTTACAGGTCATTGTAAAGACTTTGGCTTTTGCTCTGAGTGAAGAGAGAAAAAGTTCATGATCTGATACATGTTTTAAAACAATCACTCTGGCTGCTGTCTTGAGCAGAGATTGTTGGGTGACAGATAGAAGTAGGGAGACCAATTGTTTGCCTATGCAATAATTCGGATGAGAGATGATCGTAGTTTAGACTGGAGAGGGAAGTAGAGATAGAGAGAAGTGGTTAGATTTTGATGTATTTCAAAGGTAGAACTAACTGCATTTATGGCATATTGAATACGGACTGTAAAAGAAAGAGTCAGGGATATATTGAAGATTTCTGGCTGGAGCACCTCGAAAGACGGAGTTACCATTAATGAAATTTTTAAAAAGACTGTGAATGAAGTGAGTTTTGGGGGAAATGATTAGGAATTCAAATTTGGGCATGTTAAGTTTGAGATGTCTGTTAGATATCCACGTGGAAATATTGAAATAGGAAGTTGGCTATATGAATCTGGAGTTCATGGGAGAGGTTCAGGCTGAAAGGTCAAGTAAGACAAAGACTAAGAACTGACCTAAATTTAGCAATGTGGAGATCTTTGGTGAGTTTGACAGCAGCATTTTTGGTGGAACAGTGGGGACAAAAGCCTGGCTGGAGTGAATTTTAAGAGAATAGGAGGAGAGGAATTGGCAACAGAGTGTCTAAGCAATTTTCTCAAAAAGTTTTGCTGCAAAGGAGGAATAGAGAAATGGCGCAATAACTGGAGGGAAAGGTATCAGAAGAGGATATTTTACAAGGCGGGAAAGAACTCCTTGTTTGAATACTGATGGAAATAATCCAGAGAGAGAAAAGAGCTGATATAGGAATGAGAAGGGAAATTGCTAGAGCATGCCCTATAATAGATCAAAGGGGTTGGATCTAGGTGGTATAAGAGAAGGCACTGGCTGTAGTTAGAAGTATAGATAGTTCATCTCTGCTAATAGATAGGAAGGCAGAGTATGTAGGTGCAGATGCTATTAGGAGCTTAAGTGTGGTGGTAGGAGTTTATGGAAGTTCTTAGCTGATTGCTGCTTTTTTTTTTTTTTTTTGAGAAAGGGTCTCATTTTTTGTCACCCAGGCTGGAGTGTAGTGGCTAAATCACGGCTGACTGCAGCCTTGACATCCTGGGCTCAGATGATCCTCCCACCTCAGCTTCCTGAGTAGCTGAGACCACAGGTGTGTGCCACCACACCCAGTTAATTTTTTATATTTTTAGCAGAGAGGGGGCATCGCCATGTTGCCCAGGCTAGTCTCCAACTCCTGGGCTCAAGCAATCTACCTGCTTCGGCCTCCCAAAGTGCTGGGATTACAGGCATGAGCCACCGTGCCCGGCCTGATTGCTGCAATTTTGAAAGTAAAGTAAGAAGCAGGGTCATCAGCTGAAAGGATGAGGGAGGCAGTGTTCGAATTTTGAAGAGAGAGTAGAAAGTGCAAAATAATGACCTAGGATAGTGGGAGACTAAATGGGCAAAGGAAATGTAAGTATAACTGCCACATGTCATTAAGAGTCCACTTGAGGTTCATGGTCATGAATTTAAAGCAGAGCCACTGAGGATGCTTGTGTGCTGTCTCTAGCCACATTCAGGTGCACAGGTGCAGATATGGACCAGGCGGAGAGCTGGAGTTAACAAATACGAGGAAGTAAGAGAGGGATAAGGAAGTTGAGGGTGTATGCAAGGGAGTAATTACAATTTAAGCTGAGCAAGCAAGAAAGATAAACAGTAGGGAAGTGGGACAGTGACATGGTGATAGGATCAGTGTGGGCCAGTGGGACTGAAGAATGGTTAGATCAGAGTACCTTCTAGAAGAAATGAGCAGTGAAAGGTACGAGGGGTTGGTTGGAGAGTGGCTAGAGTTGCAGTAATTGGTAAAGGCAGATTTAGAGGAGTGCTACTCAATTAGTAGGCCATGGACTGGTGCCAGTCTGTGAACTGCATGTTACTGATCTGCAAGGAAATAATTTCAGAAATCGAAACACATGTTTAGAAACACTGCTGTGACATCCAAGCATGTGATCAGTAGACTTGTATTTGGAATGCCTTTGTGTTTTTAATCTCATTTGTCTATTCTTTTGTGACTATGTTTTACGAAAGTATTGGTCTGCAACAGATTAGATACAAACAAACCAAGTTTGGTCCTCTCCCACAGTGGAAGCACATGCTCTCACGTGGAGTGTGTCTCCAGGTGGAGGACAAGGTCACTGGAGGAGAGGAGTTAAAAGGACCATATTTCTGAACAATGAAATCACCATGATCTCTAGTCTTTCAAGATAGAAGGCTGCCTGACTACACAGCTCCAGGAGGCACTATTCTCATTGTATGTTGCATGAACAGTACAACTGCAGGTACTGTATAAATGGTGCTCTTAGAATGTTCAAGGAGAGAGTTAGTGTTATCCCCATTTTATAGATGAGAAAACAAGCTCAGAAAGGTTAAATAATTGCCCAGACTCATACAGCTACTAAGGGGAGGAGCCAAGATTTGAACCTAGGTCTGTCTGTTGTGCTAAAGCTGAACTCTGTCCATAATACCACTCTCTCTTTCTCTCTGTCACGTGCTTATAGCACAGCCATAAGACTCATGAGAACTGGGGAAAAATGCCTTTGGGGAATGTGTTATGGCCCATGTGACCAAGCCAGGCTTTTCAATTTACTTTAGAGTCACGACTTGCTACAGCTGCTGTGGGAATCCATAGCCAGTCACTGCCTAGATCCCTATCTCTCCAGTTTGTCTTTGTTGAACCAAGAGGCTGAAGCACCTCAGGAGTACAACATCCACTATCACTGCAGGATTTCCTGCAGTTGTTCTTGTGCTTTAGTAATTGCGTATGTATTAAAAGCAAATTCTAAAGAGTCATTTGTGGAATGGTAAGATTATGAGTAATTTTAATACTTTAATCTTTTTTTTTAAATTTGTGTGATGGATGGATACATTACTTTTCTGATCTGAGAAAGTCTAGTATAGATCTACACTTTAAACCATCTTGCTCATGGTTCAAATTTTAGACTCTAAGATTTAGGACTCTGGTGAGGGCTGGGCAGGCCCCATCTCTCACTGAGCCTGAGTCCCAGATACACTGGGAGCCTCAGCGTTTCCAGAAAAGTTGGTGTTGGTTGTTTCCTAATCTCCCCAGGTGCATGGAGTTTCTGAGAAATCCATAAACAACGTTTATGGATTGATCTCTTAGGAATTTCCTAATTTCCTTCATTTCTTGCCTCTCCAGTGGGCCTCAACAAGTACAGCAACACTAAAGTTAATTTGTAAAGCTGATCTGGGTGTTACAGGACCTGTGAACAGTGAGGTTATTTACTGCTTCTGGAAAGCCCTCCCATGCTCGAAGTCTGTATACTCACCCAATGCATAGGATACCGCATAGGAATTGGGGTTTATGTGTCCATATGGCCCGTCAGACTGCCCCTGTGAAGGCACGGTCTATGGCACAGCACAGGGCCTGACACACAGTGAGGAGTGGCTCTGTAGGAATGGGTTGGACAAGTGAATGAATAGCTGCTGCCCAGTCTGTGTAGGTATTTTTGTGGTGATGTGTTTAATCTTTTCTACCTTGAGAATTTAACTGGCATTACTGTATGTCAATGTACTGTACATGAAAATAACTTGGGCTGACCAGTATAAGACTTTTTATTATATTCAGACACATGACTTTTCACCTAGGGAAGATGTAGAAGAAATGAATCCACCAAAACAAGCAAATATAACTGGGCAGGATAGGATGTGGTCACTCTGGTTAGCTCTAAAGAATCAAAATAGAAATAGGAACAGAATTTAACTTTTAAAAATAGTACTGGAAGTCACAGTTTTGGTGTGGTGGTAAGAAGAATCATCAAAATACTTGAATATGGTAAAATGCCAATCATCACAGTTATTCATTGAAAGTAACTAAAAACCTCTGGTTGGCCTTACAAGCATTACTACAGTTTTCAGATGCATGTTATTAATTATTGTTATTAATGTGAAGTTTTAAGCTGGATCCTCTTTGGGAGACTAAGTGTCAGTGTGGGTGAATTTTTCAATATGCCTAAAAACCAAGAACTACCAAATGAAATTTGGCTCTTCTTTTCTGCCATCTTGCCAAATTGCTCATTTCATCAGTAAGAAAAGCAACTGACATGCCAGGCAATATAGATAGAAGCTGTCTCACATGATTTATTTTTTATAAATTTGTATTCCAGTCAAATGTGGAATACTTTGGTTTCAATATGTACCTCATTGATGTGAAGGGTCCAGAATCATTATAATGACTATGGTGAAGATAAGATGTTTTTTCTCTGGTTTGTCTACAAAAACCTATAAAAACTAGCAAAAACATTAACTATTGTATTTAAGTAGATAATTCTTCTTCTAGATTTGAATACTAAATAAAACACAGAAGACAGTTACATCCTATTTTTTATTATACCTTTTGAAATAATTTGTATATACCTTTTAAATAATTTCAAGTGCCACAAAAAATAATGTTAATAGCTCAAAATCAAAAGTTAAAAAAAAAACCCGATGTATAATTTTTAAAATCTTTTTCTCCTCAAGCGTTTTACGATGGGATAATGAGACAGATGTCTCTCAACTGGAAGGACATTTTGACATTGTTATGTGTGCTGACTGGTAAGTACATAAAAATCATAAAACTCCTGTTAGAAAAAATAGCTTTGCTGGAGTAATTGGGCTGTGCTGCTTTGCTGACGGCTAAGCAAAGTCAACAAATGAAGCACAAAGCCACCTTAACCTCAACAAATTAATATTCATCTCCATGTGACAGTTATAAGGTAGTCTTCTATCACACAGTAACTTCTACCACATTATTTCCCAAAGATTGATTTTGAGAAGCATTTCCATTTTCTGGAATTGCCTCTGTTTCATGCTTGACGTATCAGTAAATGGACGACTTAGGCAAATTGCAAATAATTATGGCTCGGAGAGGAATAGTCTGGAGAAAAAGGAGTTTATCAACACAAACAGCTCAATTAGCTTACTTCTTAGGAGAGATCTGACTATTGATATAAGGGAATATGTATGTGTGTGTACACACACATACTCTCTAGCAAATAAACATATCTGTGGAATATCTTTGGGGAAATAGCTTTTCCTAAAATATATGTTTGCTATCTAATGTTTTCAGTATTCAATTATAATATTTAATTATACATAAGACAAAAATTATGAAATTAGATTTTATTCTTATGCAAATAATAACATTACAGTCTCTGCCAGGTGCCTGCCTTTTAAAAATAATTTACATGAGATATTTTGCCCTCTGTTTTCGCCCAATCTACTTATTTGTTAATGAAAGTCTGATCCTAAGTTAAAGGATAAATATGCATCAGGCCTTAATAATCATTCCAATTAATCTTATGTATTTCTTCATGCTATTTGAAATAATAATTATTTCAGCTTATGGGAAACATTGACAATTCACAAGTATTTTCCCTGTTAAGAGTAAGATCTTGTTTGCAATTTTATCATGATATTTATTAGGACACTTCGGATTTGAAAACACATGAACTTCAGGTTCTGAAGAAGCTCAGGTATATTGATAAGGCTAATCATAAGATCCAGAGCTCAGGGAAGACTTTCCCTATAGGAGAGATGAATGAAATTTTCAGAAAGTGGGTTTTGTTATTTTTATTATTTTAATAAGATTTTCAATGGATAACTTTTCTACCAAAGTCATTGGAATTGGGTTTGCTGTTTTTCTTTGGAAAAACAAACAAACAAACAAACAAACTTCTCACTGAAAAATAAATATTTTGTTCTATTCTTAGCTGAGAGTTTCTAGTTTTTCATAGCCCTTTTAGTCTTTTTGCACCCAGTTGCAGAAAATCTTGTTCCAAACATGGGAGAAACCTAGATTTCTGACTAATCATTGATAATGTGCCTCAATGCTGCAGCCCTCATCTAATCAAAAATAAGGAGCTGAAACCTCACCGTATGATTCGAGCAAGTAATTTAGTAAATGCCTTTCCTCACCAAATATGAGAAAGAATCCTCCAGGTTTCATTGCACAGATGAAGATAATGCTGGCAGGATTAGATCAGATTAAGCATGAAAGTCAGATCAGAGAGCAGCGGCAAGAGGGAAGGGGCAGCATCTTCCTGAAGCTTTAGACGAGGGTCACACGCGGATGGGCTCTGATTATATGGGGAAGGCAGGTCTGGCCAAGAGATTTAGAGTTAAATTTGTCCCTCACACAAATATCAAAACAGCCTGGCTTTGTCATACCTCGTGTTATGGACACTCACACCATGTCATCCTATTTGTACCAGAGGGAAGAGCAGAGGAAGTAAGATTTAAGCTCTTTTCTGATTAATGTTCTCAGGTTAAAAATAGCCACACAACATGTTTGAAAAACCGTCTTTTTTCCCTAGCCGACAACAGGGTCACGTACACTGATATACATAATGCATATTCAGTTTAAGACTTTCATTACACACAGATAACATAATACAACATTATATGTATATACACACACACACACATAGATACAAACATCTGGTATCTGTGTGAGAATTTATGGCTTCAAATGAACTAAATACAGCAAGCTTCGTTTTACAAATGGCTTTTCCATGCATGAATTTTTTTTTTCCTGGTGTTGTAAGTGCCAGAATGTCAGCCTGTTTATAATTTCCCATTTGTAAATGTGAAACATTAAGCTACTCTCACTGCGATGCTCATAGTATTTCCAAAAGAAATGCTTTGGTAACAGTCTCTCTTCATATTCGCAGGGATGGGTAAGCTGCTTAGGAACGTAAAAAGTACAGTAATATTCTTGACATGCACGTTGTGCATGTAGCAGTGAAGCCCAGGATTCCACGAGTTCTTTATGTCCTGTTGGTGTGGTGTTTCTCTGTAAGAGTTATTGCATGGATGCTGCTTCTAGGGGCAGGCAGGCAGGCAGGCAGACCATGCTGCATTTTTTTAAGAATGTCACAGGGGAGGAAAAGAAAGCTCTCTTTAGGCACTACCTCCAAGATGAAACCTGAAATCCTCATGCCAGAAAGAGGTGCCACACATAAATAGATCACATTAAGCCTCACACCATCCTTTAGTCATTGTCAGCAATGAGATCTGGATTAGGCCACAGGAATATGAAGCAAGAGTTGGAGTTCAAATATTAGGTACATGGATTAAAATCTTATTGAAGCATTTCCAGCAAGGGTGGCATTGTCTGATTCCCTGAATAGCTAACCAGTGGTACTGCTTGATCCCATTTACATGAAAACAAGCTCTATTCACAAACCTATTCCAAACCCACATTGTGGTTCAAGTAAAATGCACATGATTACAACAAGCGGTGATATGTTTATGTTCTTAAATCATTCATATATTCATATATTTACATTCAAACATTCAAAAACCTGTAGGCAGTGGGGGAAATAACTTATTTCCCAGAAGAGACAGTCTGTTAGTTCACAACTAAATTTAGTAGCTCAACTAGATTATAAAATAAAGAGGCAAACTGTGAAAGCTAGTCATTATTTCACCATTCAGCATTTTTGACAATGAAAATAGTTTCATGGTTCAACAGTTCCTAAATAACTTGTAAGATGTCAACTTTGAAATATACAGAAGGAAAAATTGAGGTGCAGCCACACCTGCAAAAGGATGCTGTTGACAAACATCAAAATATTAGAATTTTTAACCACAGGTGTAGAAAAAAACCTGCCTATTAAGTTCCTCAGTTGACTTGTTTAATGTTGAGTTTAATATAAGGATTCCTTTCTGCTGGAATGCAGTCCAGCCTGATCCTTGCTGAGTTAGAATAGTGAGTGATTGTTAATTTTAAGCCTGCCTTTCCAGACTCCTGTTCAATCACAATATAATCTAAGGGTCTGGAAGTAAGATGTTTTTTATCCAATGAACGCTTTCATTCAGTGTTCGACGGCTCTCCAGTTTATTGTAGCTCTGCAAAAATAGAAATGACTCTGTGCATTTGAATTCTCAAAAGGCTTAGAAAGCATATCTGAAATGCCACCCATAGCCTGACCGGCCCATTGAGCTGGGTCTGCAGGACAATCAGCACATCTGTGTGCCTGCAGCCCGAGACTTTGGAAAGAAATGGGGAAAGCACATTGGCCTGTAGCGACCCACCTTGCGTGCTCTCAGCATTTGTGCACTGGCTGTGTACTCTAAATTGTTTCTTTTTGGGGGGTCCTTTTTACTTTAAATGATGAAAAATGTTTGATTTTTAAGCTGATTCTGTGAAATTTTTTTTCCTCAAAATGGAAATACTGTAGGCTCTAGAATTTGTTTTCTTTCAGATGCTCTGATCATAGATAGCCCCAAATCACAACTTACAGACGTTTATACCTGAAAATATCTTCAGCCCAAATATAGTCAGCCCTTTCACCTGATACCTGAGAAGACTCAGTCCCAGAGAAAATACATGAATCACCCAGGATTGCTCAACTAAAGGGGCAGAGCCAAGTAAAATTAGAATACGGCATCATTCTGAGCTGTAATAAAAATCAGTTGGTAAATACTGAAAGAGGTCATCCCTTTGCTGAAGTTAAATCTAAAACAGTGACTTTAACTCAGCACATTTCACCTTGAAAATTACAAAGGGGTCTTCCTGTCTATGGCTATCGACAGAGAAAAATATCTTCTTGTTCTCTGCACTAATTAACTTCCCTATGAGAGAAGTTACAGATGCTGTGCAGTCTGCATAAAACTGATTCTAAGGGAGGTGATGAAAATGGTCTGGCACCTTTCCTTTGTTGGAAAATCTGTGACTCAGATCAATGGAAGAAAGCAAGTGTTGATCCACAAGTGAATTATACAGAGGGGTGTGTGTGTGTGTGTGTGTGTGTGTGTGTGTGTGTGTGTGTGCGCGCGCGCGCGCGCACACACGCGCGCACACATGCTCATGCCCTTTAATGGTCAAACTAGACTGCCAATGTATTTTGATCAGTAACTGAAGGGAGAGTTAAAATGGTATCTCCATCCCCATCACTGACCCACTCAGCCTTTTTTAATAGATCCACTTAAGCTACTGCTGTTCTCTCAGCCCATTAGGACTTATTTAAGGGGTGAATTTTCAGGAGATTATATATCATTCCCACTAAAACACATTGAAATTGCTCAGATGACATACTCTACAAAGTGTTATAAATTCTGCCTCAGAGCTAAGTAGAAAGTGAGCTTGCTTGGAATAAAGATCTATTAGAGAACTACAAGAATTACTTTTGGGAAATTTGATTTGGAGAGATGGAGTAGACAGCATTACCTTTCAAATAACTGTGTTTGGAATGTGTGCTGTGTATTAAGCTGTGATGTTAACATCTTTGTCATCCTGACCAACTTTAAAAAGAATTACCGCTTTATAAAGCCATGTCTGAAGCTCAGCTGTGAGAGGGTGCTGTTTATTATTTTTCTAACAGTCTTACCAGCTCTTAGGATGCATAGGTATAAACCAAGTGTGGTCCTTTGCTTAAATGCTGCACGTCCCAACCAGCCAGGTTTCCCATAGGCCTGGGTAACTGACAGAGATATTTGCCTACAATCATAATCTTTTTAAAACCCAGAATGCTTAATTATTAAAACTCAAGATATTGTTACCTCACTAAGGAATAAAATACAGAGTCCTGAAGAGGGAACATTTTTAAAGC